TTTTTAATCTAGAAAGCTAACTGAATCTATACATCTTCATGAATATTAAAAAGTTGTTATTTTGATTTTGTTCCACATATCTTTACAGCATGTTCTTTTTCTGGAGTTATTTTACCCATAATCTGCTTATGGGCCTGGAGCATATTAAAGGCAGCAATAACAACTTCTTAACTCCTAGTGTTTCGTTGTGTCGAATAAGGATGTTAAGGAGCAGAGTATTTGTCTAATTGTGTCATCGATAAAATTTGTATCAACGACACAATTAGGCAATAAGGGGAGGCGCTCTGCAGAACCACGGCAGGTGGTTCTTACTACATTTAAAATTCAGAGCTGCTCCTGGACTGACACGAGCTGGAACTGCTCAGTCCTGGCTCGCGCCGAGTCCAGCAGCCCCTGTTTGTGGTCCGCAGAGAGAAGCTGCTCCAGCAGCTGCTCCTGGCTGTGGTCAGGCTGGGCTGCCGTGGCCAGTGGCTGCAGCAGGGGAGAGGGCAGGTGGCACTGCAGAGACAGTGCTGGTGGGAAACTGTCTTTTAAGTCATCTCCTCCCAGAACCGGCTTCTGTCTCATCTCCTCCCTGACCAGTGGGCCTACCCTGTCCTTGGTCTTCCTCTTGCTTCTAATGTATTTATAAAAAGTCTTCTTGTTTCCCTTTATTCCTATAGCTAGTTTGAGCTCATTTTGTGCCTTTGCCTTTCTAATCTTGCCCCTGCATTCCTGTGCTGTTTACCTATATTCATCCTTTGTAATTTGTCCTACTTTCCATTTTTTATATGATTCTTTTTTATTTTTAGATCATGCAAGATCTCGTGGTTAAGCCAAGACAGTCTTTTGCCATATTTTCTATGTTTCCTATGCAGTGGAATAGTTTCCTTTTGGGGCTTTAACAATGTCCCTTTGAAAAACTGCCAACTCTCCTCAGTTGTTTTTCCCCTCAGTCTTGATTCCCATGGGACCTTACCTATCAGCTCTCTGAGGTTACCAAAATCTGCCTTCCTGAAATCCATTGTCTCTATTTTGCTGTTCTCCCTTCTACCCTTCCTTAGAATTGTGAACTCTATGATTTCATGATCACTTTCACCCAAGCTGCCTTCCACTTTCAAATTCTCAACCAGTTCCTCCCTATTTGTTAGGATCAAATCTAGAACAGCTTCCCCCCGGTAGCTTTTTCAATCTTCTGAAATAAAAAGTTGTCTCCAATGCAGTCCAAGAACTTATTGGATAGTCTGTGCCCTGCTGTGTTAGCTTCCCAACGTATATCTGGATAATTGAAGTCCCCCATCACTACCAAATCGTGGGCTTTGGATGATATTGTTAGTTGTTTAAAAAAAGCCTCATCCACTTCTTCCACCTGGGCAGGTGGCCTGTAGTAGACGCCTAGCATGACATCACTCTTGTTTTTAACCCTTTTTAACCTAACCCGAACACTCTCAACACTTCCGTCTCCTATGTCCATCTCCACCTCGCTCCAAGTGTGTTCATTTTTAATATATAAGGCAACACCTCCTCCCTTTTTTCCCTGTCTATCCTTCCTGAGCAAGCTGTTACCTTTCATACAAACATTCCAATTGTGTGTATTATCCCACCAAGTTTCTGTGATGCCACAATGTCATAATTGTACTTATTTATTAGCACTTCCAGTTCTTCCTGCTTATTACCCATACTTCTCGCATTTGTATATAGGTTGATTATCAGTGATGCGCTAGAGGGGTTCAAGCTGGGGGCTGTATCTGATGACTAGTGGTGTTCTGTTATTTTCATTGTTGGGCCTGTCTTGAAGAAGCAGATGTCATGGTGTAGTTAACCCCTTAATCCCCAGGCTGCTGGCTAACCCTCATAATCATGACAGCGGAGTCTTGAGTTCTGGTCTGGCTCTGTCTGTTTGTTCACTTCCCAAGGTGGGTATTAGGGATGTTAGGTATCATGTAATTGAGTAGTCATGTAAACGCATGAAATCTTGGTGATTACACAACTATTCAATAGTCCATGAGAGCGGGGCCGGCAGCTAGCACACTCCCAGGGAGCCCCCTGCAACCCCATGCTGCTGCCTCTATATTGGAGGCAGCAGTGCGGGTTGGCAGCAGCCCCTTTCCGCAGGGGTCCAAGCTCCCCACGGATGGGCTGCTGCCACCCTGAGCTGCTGCCTCTGATACATAGGTGGGGAGGGGGGAGCAGGCGGCACCGCAGAGCTGGTGCTTGGGGGTGTGTGTGGCTTTTAAGGCAATTCCCCCTGGCACCAGCTTCTGTCTGCCCCCCTGTCACTGCCTTTGTAGGCAGCAGCAAGGGAGAGGACTGGCGGGTCTGCAGAGTCAGCATGTGTGGGGAGCCTGCTTGAAAGTTAGCTTCTTGTGCATATCGGCTCCAGCCTGCCCCCCTCACCCTCTGCACTGCTGCCAATGTATCAGAGGCTTCAGTGTGGTGGTGGGAGGGCAGCCTGATCTGGTGCTCATGGGGAACCTGCTTAAAGCCAGCTCCCCACGGGCACTGGCACCCGCTCTCCTCTCCCCTTCCTCCCACCTTGCTTCCTGAGCAACGGGAGGGAGTATGTGTAGTGGACAAGATTAACGGATAAGCCAAGGTTTATTGGTTAATCATGTAGTTGACTACACATTGACGTGTCAACTAGTGGGTATTTAAGTTTTAAGAGTGCCTGATAAAGATCTTCTAGGTGTTTCTGTGGGATTGGAGTCAATCTGGTTATATTTTAAGGCCTGGCTATAAACAATCTCTACGACAAAGGATAAATGGACATAAGTCAGGTATCAGAAATAGTAACACATACAGATCTGTAGGGGAACATTTTAACTTGCCTGGGCACTATGTTCTTCTACAAAGTAATTTCAGAAACCAACTACTGATTGAGAGTACAGAATTGACGTGATTCATATGCAAATTTGACACACTGTTTCCCTCTGTTTAACACGGACAATTACTGGGTGGTCTATTATAAAACCAGTCTTCTTTACATTCAGCATGTCATTGACATCAAAAGCTTAGTATGGGGCACTTCCAAGCCAACTCAATTAACCTCATTAGCTCCTGCACTACTATTGGTACATCCCCCTCCCTTCTTTTTCTGTTATAATTCTGATAATCCCCCTTTTTAATCCACTCAAGATCATCTAAAGTGGGTTTTGCTAACGAAAACTCATGATACTATGTATTTGTTAGTCTCTTAGCTGCCACAGGGCTACTTGTTGTTTTCATAACTACTGAAGTTCATAACCTGGAGCTCTTTAAACCGGGATAGCACGTAGTGGTAATATCACCCAGCAGGGCTGGCCCGAGCCCTTTTGGTGCCCTGGGCCCGGGTGTGCGGTGCTGTCCCCGGGCGCAGGGTGCATGCGCAGGCCCACCCGTGGGGCGTGGGCTCACCCCCAGGGCGCACGGCGCGTGCCGGCCATGGCCACTGGCGCGAAGCCCGCGGCCAACCCCGGGACACTCGGCACATGCGTGAGGCGCACGGTGCATGCGCTGCTCAGCTCCGCAGGGCCCCGCAGCTGTGGGGGCAAGGGTGCTGCTGTCCGGCGCCATGGGAGCCGGGCGCGCGGCTCCTGATGGCAGCTGTAAGGGATGCCACACACCCCTTACAGCTGCCATCAGGCGCCCCCTGTGGGTTGGCGCCAGGGGCAGCTGCGTGGCTCGCCCATGCCTCCGTCCGGCCCTGTCACCCAGTTTAGGTATTCTATTTCCACAGTGCTGAGATCCAACTTTGTAGTAAGGACAATCTTGACTTCTTGACCTTGCCATAGTAGCAATTCATAGTCACTGAGCATGAGGAAGCATGAGAATTACCTCTAGTCTGGCATTCCAATGCTCAGCTAGGATATGGGAGAGCTATTCCAGTGACTTGAATTTATAAAAGGTGAAACAAGAGATTGAGACTGGAATATTCTGGTATAAGTCTTAGTGCAGTGGCCAGGGCACTGTTCTACAATGTTGGACAAGAAGTTCAAATCCCTTCTCCACTTCAGTCTCCCTGATTAAATGGAGCAAGTGGTATACTAGCGAAATCATTTAATGTTCTGACTAATGCATTTGGAAATGCATGTCATGTATTGCATATATATGTAAACAAATTGCTTAAACAGTGACGTACTTTGGGTACTGCCAGTGGAATGAGACATAACAAAGCACAACCAACCAAAGCACCAGCAATAAAGGGGGAGAGTATTCATTTTGGTGTCTATTTTATTTATAATTTAGGATGAAAAATAAACTACATCTTGTTTTATTTCAGGAACCTTGGTGTAATCTCATATATGCTGCTAACTCAAGAATCTCCATTTGTGGGGGCAGATAATCAAGAAACTTTCCTCAATATCTCTCAACTCAATGTGGATTATTCAGAAGAAACTTTTGCATCAATTTCATACCTGGCGAAAGACTTCATTCAAAAACTTCTTGTCAAAAACCCAGAGTATGTAGCAGATCCATTGGTGCATTTTTCTATTTGTAAGCGTCTACCAAAACAAGTCCTTGATAGTGATTGAGGACTTGGTGTGACTGTAATATAAATGTGATAAAATTAGTGATTATTTAACATAAAAATGCTGCTTTCCATATGGATACAATCTATGTGGCATAAAATATTTAGAACAGGGATAGGGACCCGGATGTGGCCCAGCTTGCATGGATCTGGCCTCTGAGGCTCAGGGCTTCTCACCCTCCTCTACCTCCCCAGCATTGGGGAGCCTACGCTGGTGCTCCAGCCCTACCATTGTCCCCCTTGGAGGCTGAAGCACCCAAAATCTACTAGCCTGGGCCCTTCCCTAGGCCCTAGTGTGCCAAGGGGAATGTGAAGAATCTCTTTCTCAGTCGATGGCCATCTCAGTGAGGATTTGTTGGCTTTTTGGGGCTTTGCTTCTAATTTGTGAGCAGCCTGCAATTGATTTTTCTGTGGGTCAGTGGTCCCTGACCCAAAAAAGGTCCCCACCTGTTTTAGAATATGCTCGAGTCAAATGGAAAATCTGACTTTGCCAATGAGATCCCAATAATGGAAGTTCTGTTAAAATGTTGACTTTTAAAGTTATCATTCTGACTGCATATTGCATTAACTGGTGGCAAAGCTGTTTGTAACGGGTTTTTTACACTCAGTATGATGCTATTTGGTTAAATAATTTTACTTTAAAAAATATCATCATGGCTTCCAAATCAAATTTGAACAATTTACAAATAAACTAACTGCCAGATACTTGGTCTTGAATGTATTTTTGCTTATGGCTTGCAAATAATAGTCCTGCTAGCCAAATTTTACCTATAAATAAATGATTTTAACATGCAGAGACCAAAAGTTAGACTCTGCATTTGGATTTTGACTGAGTCAAACTAGAATCCAGGCACTCTCATAAAGTTCTGTTGGCAGTAAAAAGGCAGCAATCTGAGGATGCTGTAAAATTGTTGCCCTTACTGATACCCGTTGTGCAGCTAAGGCTTCACTCTTCAAGACTGTCCCTCCTTTATACATGTCAAAAACTCTTGATTTTTTTTTAATGTTTTGTAAAATAAATTATGTATTTCATATAAGATATTAATACTTCTACTCATGTCAGTAAAACAACTTCCTTTTAATTTTCTTTATTCTTATTAAAGAGAAAGACCATCAGCAGAGGCCTGTCTCTCTCATTCTTGGCTGAAACAAGGGGAATTCATACTATGGTGTAGTCCTGAAGAATCTTCCTGTCCTTCTCCAATGCAGGAACACACACAGTGTTCAGAGGAAAGGAATACCAAATCAGTTTGTAATGGTACCTGTGGTGACCGAGCAGATAAAGAGAACATTCCTGAAGACAGTAGTACAGTCTCTAAACGTTGTCGATTTGATGATTCAGTGCCACATCCTCAAGACTTCACAACAGACTTAGTATGTTACCATATGTCTGTCTGTACAGGTCCTCTGAACTGAATTTAGGATTATAATCCAGCGGTGAATATTATCAGATTGTTTTATCCATTCATGCAGCACAGTTATACTGGAAATGCACTTTTGAATAAGTCTCTATGTGGTACTTCCTTTTATGTCCATTGCTGGCAATGGCTTTTATTCCTGAGGAACTAGAGTTCTGGCATCAGAGGTACCTTATGTTTTGAAGTCAATTTAGTTGACTATATTTGCACTTTTCAAGTTTTAGTCCAAAAAAGTTTAACATAATAAAGTAGAGAATAAAAATATAAAAACTTTTGAATGTTAATAAATAGATCCCAGTTCAGCAACTTATAAAAATGCTCAAGACAAAGAGTGATCTAATATATACAGTTTCATTTTTGTGACTAAGACTTGATACTGGATTGAAGTGGAGAAACTGAAACTAATAATTTCTGTAGCCTTTCACTACAGGGATTGTGCCATGATTTGTTAAATGAAGAGTTTAAAATTCTTGGAATATTGGGATTATTCATTCAGCAAGTACTGTTTAATTTAAGACTGTTTAGCTGTGGTTTAAGAAAAATCTTTCTGCCTTAGTTGTCTGGGTCTACTTTGTACTATTTGTAATATGCTAGCATGAATATCTCTGGAATACTAGACTAGAATAGGGTAGGTTGTTGCTTTTAGTGCTGAAGATCCTTGCTTCATAAACAAATCTAATTATAAGAGTGTGAAAAGTCTTACACTGAAGTGCACGTTGAAACAAGTTTGTCTTTCAAAGAAGCTGTTGCCAGTCTCTATATGTACCCCGGATTCTATTGAAATACAGATTGCATAGTAAATTATAAATATCCCAATACCTATACTAGTTAGGGATGTTAATGGTTAACTGATGAGGGCTGAAGCAGTCCCCTGCCCACTGCAGTCAGTGTGGTGAGGGTACTCCAGCCCGCAGAGAGCATTCCCTCTCTGTGGGGGATGGTAACTTCACTTCTCCGCTCCTGTTTAATCAGTTAATGTTTAACTGGTTAACTAATTAAATGCGATTTATTTGTATTTACATCCCTAATACTAGTTCAGTGTACGCCCCTCATAAAAACATCAAAAATGAGACTGATAGCAGCATATAGTCATTTATTGCCTGTGCAACTACCATAATCTGTATTAAGGATGTATTAAAAACCCAATGAAGGCGTGGGGAGAAGTGTGTGTTAATTTGCTTATATAGTAACTTTTCCAGCCATACTATTTTTCCTCAAAGTACATAGACTCAGGCCAGTGTTAAGAAATTGCTAAATTTCAGAACTAAAATTCAGAGCTCTCAATTATAAATCTATTAGTTTTTGAAAACATTCACACATACTTTCTGTTTTGCACTTTCCATCTTATAAAAATAAGCAGCGTGGCTTTTGTTTTGTTCTTGTTTTTATTATTATTATTCCTCTTGTTCCCAGGGTCTGAAAAAACACCGTATTATGCCAAGATTCAGCTTGGAGCATATGTTGATCAGGTCCTAAATTGAAATGCTGACAAGATATCCTATCCATTATAGCACTAAGAGTATAAAAATTAGAGCCTTTTTTCATAGGGAATACAAGTAATTAAAGCTCTTTGAAATATTATGAAAGTAAATGGCACTTTAAAGTATTTCCCAGATCTTTGAGTCTGCATTGCTTAGACTGAATTCTCCTCAGTGTGGCTGTCTCAATTGTCCTGCATAAGGAGAATTGTGATATGTAGTTAGTTGCAAGATGTTTCCTCAAATGAGCATTTAGACCCTGGCACATTTAAGCAATTTCCAGCTAAAATTGAAGAAAAAAATACCAGATATTAATAAAATGAGCATTTATTATTTCAGTATGTAGTAAAATGTAGTATTTTAAGTACCTTTATAATCAAATGATGGAATAAAAATATTTTAAGACATTTGTATAGTAAATCTGACTTAAGAGACAGATTAATCCAATCATGTTCTCTCTATTTGGATAATACTCCTATTGATCTATATGGAAGTTACAACTGAGTAAAGTGTGAAGGATCAGGTCTTAGACCTTTGATACTTTAAAATCCAGCCTTCTCTGCTCTTCATGGAGATGGATATCCATGTGATATTGCTTTTAATATCAATGTGCGTTCAGGTATAACGAAGTTGAGCTACCTAGTTATTAGGGGACTGCACTCATTTCTACATATTAATGTTATGTAATGCATATGTTGTTATCTATAAATTGATAAGTGAAAAATAAAGTAGACTTTGTGGAAGCAGTTAATAGACAAGTTAGACTGTATTTAGGTGACCTTTTTATGAATTTTGGAAGTCCTTGCTTTTACCCAATAGATATATTTTTATATTTAAAACTATCACGACCATCTTCTCACAAGAACTTTATCTAATTATAGTGTATTGAAATAAAGGTATTTTTATACGTTCAGAATTGAAAGTTTATTTAAGATGAAGGGAGGAAATGTCAAAACAGTACAACAGATGCAGCAGAAAAAAGTTTTAACAAATAATTGTAGTTAAACTATTCAAATTATTGCAAAAACTGGAAGCTTTCACAAATTAATGAGAGAGGTTATGCAAAGTATAGTCATAACCATATATACCAGCACTTTAACAAAACAAAACACAGAAAATATTTCAGAAAGAAGCTTTTCACCATGGTATTGGATAAATGTTTACATTTGTTTTTGTGGGTGGGTTGTTTTTCTGGTCTTAAGTTATCTTTTAATTTTGAATAAACAAACGTAAGTGGAAATGGAGCTTTTTCATATTTTGTAGATATCTATTTTGTATGTAAATACAAAATATAACTGGTCAGAATTTTAAATTGTTTGTATTAATATAAATGTTTAATTTTATAAGAATTTTGTATAGAGCATGCCATAATTATCTTTAACATATAGAATTTCATTTAAAGAACAATTTTTCTTTGCTAGCCCATCGTGCTTTATGTCATGTTTTGGGACTAACAAAAACATGTAAATGGTAATATTTTATGAAGATATTGGATGATGTTTCTATGCAATTCCTGAATTCTTTTGAATAAACATTTTGTATTGAAATGTGACTTTATTCACCAATTTGTATGTGTAATTTTTTTCCTAATGTCATGTGCTCTGTGTAAAGTCCACATGATAAAAAGTTAACTTTTTGAAGTGCCATCATGTTCTTATATTTATTCATTTCATATTTGGACTGTTGCTTACATTTGAATCTAGATTAAATCTGAGGGGAAAACAGTGTTTCTGCTTAATGTACATTGAGGGTCAAAACTCTTATCTTGTTATAGTTTAATTTTAAGTATAAAATGTTTAGAGGAAAGAAAACATCTATATATTTGAGAAAGTTTCTGTTTGTCCACGAACTCCTCCTACATGGTCAGAAATTCAATATACAGCATCCTCTTTTATCCTAAATGAAAGCTAGGGATGTGAAAGAATAAGCTTGTAAAATGATTTGTTTAGCTAGCTAACCACTGGTTACAGGTGGGGGAAGGGTAGAACCTGCTCCGGCCCTGTCCCTGCCTTGGCTGTGCGTGGCAGGAGGCTGCTCAGGCCCTGACCCAGCCTGAGCTGCAGGGGACTGCTCCCACTGGCAGTGCCCTCTGATTAACTGGTTACCCAGTAAGCATGCTGGTAAGGTATATGGCTACTAGGTAACCTGTTAACCATTTAACCTTTAATATCCCTACTTTTAGCAACATAAGGGTCTGGTGTGCCAGGAAAAATGGGATGTGCCTGGAATGGAATTGCTTTTCATAAAACCATACAGAAAAGAGACCATCACCAGGCAAGTGAAAGAAGCTGGCTGGGGGAACTGCTCCCCCACATCTTCAGCACCCTTTAGGGAGGACTAAGGTGGCAGGGCTGAAGCTCCCTACCCCCAGATTCGTACAGGGTCACTTGGATGTTCCCATTCATCTGGGATTGAGGGGAAAGTACCCTGTTGCCACATTCCTCAGTCAGGCTGGGGAGCGCAGTAGCAGACGAGCTGTGCACATTGCTCTTGCTTTCTGACAGGGACAAGGGGAAGAGGAAACAGCCCTGCAAATTTCAGGTGGAGATTCCTCTTAAATACACACACATTCCTTTGCCCTGAGCTCCTCCTTAAGTACCCTAGCAACATCAAGTAAATGTGCTGGTTTTAATTTAAATATTATATAAGAGAAATTCTGATGTTCGTATTAGTCGCCCTGTAGAGGCTGTAGAACCCGCACTATGCCAGCCAGCTAAAGAGAGAAAAAGCAAAAGTAGTCAAACATTAAATGGGCCAGTGTAAATGTGAAATTTTTTATTTTAAATTATTAACACAGTGGTGAGCTGCATAAGGTAGAGGTGTATAATATCTGTGCTGTTTAGCTAAACTCCTTAAAAGTTAAGTTGAATGCTAATAAGGCTGATAACCTAAAAATAATTATGCCCTTTTAGAGAATTTCAAATATAGTGTGTGTAATAAATGGGTAGTACTTCACTGGGACAGGCTGGATACTGCAGCTGCAACATAAAGATCCCATTGTGTTTAGAATTTTCATGGCTGAGCTGTGTTGCCTGTGAAAGGAATGATGTCCCCATGTATTTGTTTCCGCATTATTGCAGTATTCCCTTCAGAAGGGCTTTTTAAAAATCTCTTAAATTTTCTGCACATAAAACCAAAATCCTATTTGCTAATTGGGGAAAACAGTATTTAATAATGTTGTAGAGCTCATTTTGAAATAAAATATAGTAGCCCAATGTCTGAGAGTCCGTAACACTGAAATGCTGGCTGTTCCCTCTGGGTGGCCCATGCTGCATGGGGAACGTGGGGCCCAAACGGCCGCTTGCGCTGCTTGCTCCCTCCCGGGGGCCCAGCTGAGCGGTGAAGAAGTCAGCCGAGCGCCACAGTGGGAGGGAAAGGGGGGCTAGTGGCTGTTTGGGCAGTGATGTACATGGCCAGGGGGTGGGGCCCGGCTGCCTATGTCACTGCTCTGCCCCCCTTCACATCCCGCC